ATGGTTTTAAACTAAAAGAGGGTAGATTTAGACTAGATATAAGGAAGAAATTTTTTACGCTGAGGGTGGTGAAACACTGGGACAGGTTGCCCAGAGAGGTGGTGGATGCCCCATCCCTGGAAACATTCAAGGTCAGGTTGGATGGGGCTGTGAGCGACCTGATTTAGTTAACAATGTCCCTGCCCACGGCAGGGGGGTTGGACTAGATGACCTTTAGATGTCCCTTCCAACCCAAACTATTCTGTGATTCTATGATTCTATATGTCTTTAGGTGCAGGTGGCAATAAGGATGCAGAACTTGTCCATCATACAGGATTTGATCAATCTGCTTTGCACCATCCAGAGCAAAATCCTTATTTAATAACTCCTCTCATGGAACAATATATCTCTACCTAATAAAGAACAATAATTTCTTTTTTACTTTTAAAGATACCAAAAGCATGATAAAGACTTCCTGAGGCACCAAATGACCCTCAGCACTGGCCCATCCAGAAAGATACCAACTCTAAAACCCCAGATTAAGTATATTCCTTTTCTTCCTGGACAACAAAAAATAGTTCAAAATGAAAAAAAAAACCACAAAAAAACAGAACACTTCTGCAACTCTGAAGAGTTTCGTTAATTGCTATAGAAAAATCCTTAAACAACTTTTGCTTTTTCATTAGACCAAAACCTGAGCCTTCACAGAGCAACATTATAATCTGACAGGTCCCAAGCAGGCTCAAATCTCCCCTTCTGGCCAAGCTTCAGATTCTTATTTTAAAGTCTATGTGATTTCTTCATGTGGTGTATAGCGTATATGACTACCTGTCTCATATGAAATACTGTGCAGTAAAAGGGAAGGAAGAGGCGTTTTTTGTAACTAAGTATATCACTGTGTTGAGATCTTGGAGTAGCACAGTGACACAAACACTGTAAGGTCTCATACAAAAACCTGAGACTGCAAAAGGAACAATATATTTTGAGGAAGAAAGGAAAAAGGGAATGCGTTGAAGAAGAGAACTGCAGAATTCCTATGAGCATTTATTCTGGAAGTATATTGCTTACTGAGCTAATAGAAGAGAAAAGGGTTTTAAAAGCTTTGGCCTGTTGGCTTGGATCAAGTTGTTTGAAATCACTCTGCTAGGAAATCATTGTTTTCTCCCATCACAATTTTGGAAACAATGGTGACTTTGGAGCACTTTCATGGCAGTCCGGGTATGGATCCTTTGGACAAACCGCTGGCATTTCATTCCCTGATTTTATACACCTTTAGAGTGTGGTGAGGAAAGTGGGTTTATCTGACTACATGAAAACAGTGTGGCAACAGACAAGCTTGTATTTGGAACTGGGATCACTTTTTCAGTTGAGCCAAGTAAGTTCCACTTGTTTTACTACTAATGTATTTCTTAAGTTTGTGGTGGGGTGGACAAAGGGATTGTGTGATGTGACAGCATAATGAGAAATTTCTGCTGCCACCGATCTCTTGAACATGCATTCTCCAACCAGGTGTTTGAGTCCTTAGCTCATATTTAGTTAACAAAGCTTTTTCTGGAACAACAAGGATAGTTTCCTAGCTATGTGTATCAGCATTACTCCACAGATCCTCACCCCCTCCCGTAGCCGCACTGCTAAATATAAGATTGTTGTTTATACCCAATGCAGATGGTGTCTTAGCCCAGCTTCAGTATGAGGTGAAAGTAGTTGCTTACTTTCTTTTTTGTAACAAGAAGGTGTGTGGAAAGGAAAAAAGGAGATGTAAAGAGTTTCAGGAGAAAGTAGTTCCCGTGGAAAGACAGCGCATATTAGTTTTTGCAGCAACTGCTTGAAATGTGAGCAAGCCTTTTATATTTAGAAATGGCACTCTTCTGAATGTGGTCTTTATAAGGATGGACCATCTTCTCCAGCTTTTGTGTGACAGCATGAAAGTTGGGGCAATGGGTGAGTTTGTTGGGTTGATTTTTATTGTCCTAAAACGTTCAGTTTCATACCACCACATGAACACACACACTCCCCAGACAGGCATGGGACTCTCTTAGGTGCTAGCTCACATCTGCAAGCCCCATACAGATATACATCTGCCTTCAAATCTTTAGGGCATCTTATATGCCTATTCTGGGGTAGATGAATGCAGCTCCAGTTCCTGTAGGAATAGGGAATCCAAAGATACTATTTTGAAGACATAATTTGTGAAAGTAGGACAGCAAGATACTGCCAGTTTCCATCAGCCCAACCTCAATCTACGCTAATATAAACTTGCCAGTTATCAGTACAAAAGGTATTCTACCATGAACAATCAACCAGCAAAAGGTGTTTGTAGGTGAAAGTCTAAGTAATGGTATTGCCTTTTCATACAAACACAGCAGCCGTAATGTGAGGTTCAGTTTCTACACAGAAAGTAACTTGCATGCTTTTTAAAACAAACTGAATTTCAAAGCTGTTATATCAGTAATTGCTGTGTCATGACTCCTGTTCTTCAGGAAAGAGGGAAAAAAAATTCTTTCCCCAAACAGTAGGCTTTAGAAACTATTGGTTCCTCCAAAGACAAGAATAGATTTTCCAGGTTTCTAGAACGCTGGTACCCTGACTCTTTTTAGTGCCTTTTTTTTTTTTTTTTTTCTTCCCCATTTCCATGGAAGATATTCAAAAGGACTTAAAACAGCTAAGAACACCGCAGGAGCTGGGCCTCCTGAGAATCTCCAAGCACAAAAGACATAAAAAACATCCCTTAATCACTACACAGTTTTTAAGACATCTCCTCCTGAGAATTCAGTAAAAGAATAGCTAAGGAATTACTTGGTTCATTCCCTGTATAATTCTCATTGGAGGAAGCCAAGATCCACAAGAGGATGCAATATATAGCCAATTCTGTGCTTTTGTAAGATTAAGAAGAAAAAGAAGTACAATTGTTTGCATAAGTATATTAACCGCTTTTTGTGTGCAATACAAATATAACCACTCCCCCCTCCCCCCGCCCCCAGTACAAAGATGCCCTAAGGATCTACAAAAGATCTGTTTCTTTTGGAAGGGACAGCCAGAGAGAAGACAGAATAAATGGTGTGTTTGGAATGGCACTAAACTCTTCTGTTAGACACCCCAGTGTTGTTCTTTAGGATGGCTCAGCATTATGCAGTGAGATGGTATCATGACTTGGAAACATCTCCAGAGCTCCCATAACACTATTCACTTGTTAAGAGAGGTGTATATGCCTGGGTCAAGTTCCACATAGAAATATTACAGAAACTTTCGAAGCACGGAATTTGGAAAGAAAAACTCCTTGGAACTGAACATTTGTTAATGAAAGATTTAACCTCATCTTCCACTTCAGCAATGTTGTTTTGTATCTGCAAGTAATCCCACTCATCGGACAGCATTGTAGAGTGGAGTAACAAACTGTCTTCTCTCCCTATGTGCTATGGTTAATCCTTTTAGCCTCATCAGGTAAAGGATTTTTGGGTAATAAAAAAAGGATCTTTCAATATATATCATGTTAGAAGTATATAAGGCTACCCTTGAAGTAAAGGTTCTTCTTAGTATCTAAATTTGTATGAATTCAAAATTAATATGATCATATATGTTGTATTCTTAAAAGTTCCCTTCCTCATTTCAAGGTCCCTCACTTAAAGGAATACACACACACACACACATATATATATATATATATATATATATAAGTTCTGAAAAAAGCAAAAGCTTAGGAGCCCAAGGGATTAGAAGCTCCAATGAAAATCCCACCCTTATACTCCCTTTCTGTCTTTGATCTGCTCTTTGGGAAACGGGAGGAAGATATAAACACGGAAAGACACTCAGCTGTCAGGGGGCAGATGTGGCTGGTCTATATCTCAACTGTAGATGATTTAGCTCTCAGAAAAGTATGCAGAAAATAAAATCATCACAAAATGATGCTTCTTTTTCAGAGAGTCAAGAAGAATCTGCCCCAGAAGTCATTGTGCTTAAATCAAAGGAACCCAAACAATATGACAAGAAACTAAACATGGCTTGTTTGGCAAGGACTTTCTACCCTAAGAACATCAGCCTTGATGTGCCCAAGAGTGAGATTGTATATGATCTGAAGGCACCTCTTGTCACATCTGAGGGGATGTACAGTACCATGAAGGTAGTTGGAGTGGAACCAGATGCAGAGGTGACCTGCAAGGCTATACATAAGCGGAACAAGACTACAGCCAACATAATTCTGCCAGGTACAGTGTTGTGGTCCAAACACAACAGGTTTCTGGGAGATACATCTTCCAAAATGTTTTCTTGCCCTTTGAGAACCTAGCAGAAACAAGTAAGCACAGTCAGAAAGATATTTACGTGCTTATTTAGGTGAAGACGAGATATTCAAAAGCACCTAGCATACATGACCTTAATTCAACTATTTAAACACGTGGAGTTTTCTTCTCAAAAAAGAAACAAACAAACAAACAAAACCCCTACCCCCCCCAAAAAAAGACCTCTAATATTTGCAAGTCTAGCTTTACCTAAGGCAAAATAGTTCAAGGGACGTGACTATACATGCCTGCTGGAAAAAAGTTTGATATAACTTTTATGAAAACACAAAATAAAAAAACGACATGTGATTTTTTTCCCTAAAATCTTTTGGTTATTTTTTGATCACTTTTTAAATTGTTCTGTTCCTATTGTAAAGTTCATTTCAAAAGGGAGAGAAAATAAAACTCAACAATCCTGGGATTTTTTTCTGCAATCACATGTAGAAAGCTGATTTTTCTCTTCAAGTTAATCTCAGAATTAATGACGTCCATCTGATTCTCCAATACTTATCTACTGCTGGGAAAAGAGTTATAGGTATGATTTGTGTAATTTTTGTTTTATATAGTTTAGATACAATTTATAATGTCTCTCAATCATTCAACAGAAGAGAAAACTGAAGAATTTGAAACAGTTAATGCTTGCAACATTACAGATGCCTCTACAAAAGGTTAGTTGCCTAAAAGAACAATAGAGTATGATTACTTTATTGGGGATTCAGTAAGAATGCATGAAAATGCATTGTCTTTGGTACAAAAATGTCTGAATTGTAGATAACTTATTAAGCAATAAGCTGCACTTTTTGTGAACTCAATACCAAAAAATGAAAAATTGCTTTCTCTGATGCAGAAACATCAGAATTGGAAATATCTGTTGAGAAATAACCTGCTGTTTCAGGTTAACAGACTAAATAGCTGACAAATTTCCATGGGATAAAACAGGAACGGGAAATAAATTTTTCACTGGGCAGACATCTCCTCTCTTCCCTGCACTTGATACATTCCTCTGTCATTTTTCCTTTGTTCCTGCTTTCCTCATCCACCTAGCATGTGTGGATTTTCCTTCTTTTTTTTTAGGGGGGTGGGTGGGGATAATATCAAGACCACAATCTCTTCCCTCTTCTCTTTTTTAAAGCAGATGTCAAAATGGAGAAAATGAATATGCTGTTCATGGCTGTTTTGGGTTTGAGAATCCTGCTGGGAAAAAGCATCGCCTTCAATATAATCATGAGTATCAAGCTGTTTCTCTTCTGAGGTAGGAAACATGTCATTCAGTCCCTGGGAACAGAGAAGGCAAGTGCAAGGAGTGACCAGCTGCCTTTGCATCCTTCTGTAACCCCACAAGGAGTGACATCAGTTCAGTTGTTCCTGTTTCCACTGGATAAGTTAATGTAACCCCCAAATTGCACCTCATCCCCAAACTGCCTTTGCATCAGGCTAGTCCAGAGCATCTCAGGTTCTATCAGAAATTTTCTGTTGGTTGTTTTAAGTGGCAGAGCACAAAGTCTGGATGAATGAACAGATCAGCAAGAACTATAAAGGGAGAATCCCAAAAGCCAACAAATGTGAAAAGGGGGATGAAAAAAGGAGGAGGGAGAATTCTGAAGATCAGGTAGCCAAAATGACAAAAAAAAATAATTGTCCAATACATTCCAGATTAAGAGAAACTCAGCACCACTGTATTAAATGTGACTAAGAAATTAAAACAAACATTGCTCTTTCAGGTACTGGGTAAGTGAGCCAGCAATGGGCAGAAGAAGAGCAGGAAAGAACACACAGCAGCATAATTTAAACACCACGGGTCAGCTTTGCTACCAATAAACATCTAAAGAATCAACAACCCCCCCAGTTCCTGTAGATCTATGAGTCCCTTTACTTCATCAAGGTGCTCTTTAGTTAACACCATCTGGAAGCCTTCTTGGACAGCTAATACTGCTGAATTCTTGTCTAACTTAGTTTCATTAATTGTTAGAATAATTTTTTTTTATTTCTGTTTTCCATAAGAAATTTCCCTCATCCCTCCGCTAAGCAGGAATAGTTAGCTCTCTTACTCCTGTATCCATTGCACTGAAGCATCAAAATTGTTTAGATAGTTTTGAAAACTTTAAATTTAACTTTATACTTACTATGCTTTAAAAATACCACCTCTGGTCATATCACATTATTGTCTACAGAAGTAATGCTTTTCTGCTTAGGGATCCCAGGCACAAAAGAAGCATTGTATAGTTTTAATTTTAAGAAGTTTTTACTAGTGGCAATTTTCTAGTGCAGGTAACTAGATCTCCACTGGACCTGAAGGAATTCACTTCAGACAGGTATACAGTAGTATTTTCATTTCCATCTATTCTGTAGAACATCTTTCTCTTTTGTTAAGTATATGGTACCTGCATTTTAGGTTTCCTTAATAGACACCAAAATAAAGTTTTATTATGCTTGGTTTGCACTGCGCTCTTTCTTCTGAAATTTGGGTGGAAATTGTTGAAATTCCACTGTCCTATCCAGTGACCTCTGAGAACTAAAAAAAACATCTATTACAGCCTAGATTTCCTTTTTATTAAATTTGTCTTTCTTGGGGTTTCC